CATAAGTTTCCCCAAGATGTTTCAAACAATGAAACGCCCATATCATGAGAATATGACCACATCCATGGATTGCACAACTCTCTGTCTTAAAGGACAACACTTTAATGGACTGGATTAGCTCCTTAAATCCAACCCGGTCCCATGGAAATCTGCCAAATGCTATAATATCAAAAACTCTTTTTGCATATTCCAGTTGAATCCTAATGCCCCTTGGGAGTCCCAAAATGCCAACATGAACAACAAACAATAATCCCAGCATCTTTCTCTTCTCATGACTCCACGTTCTACAACTCTTCAGGGCTTCATCCAACTCATACCAGTTAGGGCCTACACCACCATCCACCTTTAACTCTGCCCAAAATTCTCTGTGATCAACTTCCACAATATCATCCTCCACTATGGGCTCACAGATCAGACCAGATATGTCATCATATTCATTAAGAGAGAACCTAATAGGACAACCTTCAATTAATGACCACATATTATACCTCCTTTCTATAGCCAACTACCATGTGAGGATGTAATGAACAAGCTTAGCCTACCATACCTAGTCAGAATCAGCAAGACTCAATATGACTCCTACTTGTGTATGATCCAAGATGTCTTTGTAAAATTCTTCACCAATGCAGTCTTTCATCAATCCAAAACTCGCCAAAGTGCAGTTATGGTGGATGCTCCTCTTCCGAAGAGGAGATTTTCCTGACGGATACAATAAAGGAGGTTACCTTCCCTTCTTTTCACCACTTGTTGATCCCATTTCCTGCAAATTACAACAATCACCATTTCAGCTACTTCATTATAATCCAGCCGTCTATCATTTCTACATACATTCTATCTTTAACTTCTATCATTATAACCAGCCGTTTATGAATTATTTCACATTCAAAATCTAGTTAACACTTAACCAAAAATGCATAAGGATTAACTCTATCAGTATTTCCTACCATAACATATGTATCTCTATTTTCAAAGTCCGTGAAATGTTAATTTTAGCAATGGCGAAGTGTATCATCAAATCTCCACCATGTGCTTCCTTTAAAAATAATTCTCTCAAAGAAGAAATAAGTGTACCCAAGCGATTATCATAAAATAGGAAACCGTCGCTGTAATGCCCCTCACCGGGGCCTAATATTCAGACGAAATGCTCAAAGACTTGCTATCGAATAAAAATTTATCAAGGCAAAGGAGAATTAATTTTTGGAGTCGAACCAAAGTATTCTTAGGTGAATATAAAGCTTTTGGGCAAAGAAAAATTGAAGACAGACGGTGAAAATCATATTTCATACGACAATGAAGTTTATGGTCGAAGGAGCATCGAGTACGAACGCGATCACATGCATATCATTTCTTTTGCATCCGCAAGCTAGTAGGTTGGTAGGCAAGCTGCTACACTATTATGGATAAGAACAAAAAATGGATAAGTATGCAGTTTAGGATAAGCATCAACATTTAGATAAGGATAGATGTAAAGATAAGCTCAATCAAGCCTATTCATACCACCTCATGCTTCCATAGCTTCCTCCCCAAGTAACCAACTCCTTCTCATTTGTTCTTCACATAAAAAATCAAACGAAAACCTTTCCGAGAGAGTGAGTGTCCGAGAGTGTCTCAGGTGGTCCGTGGTAGTAGCCGAGTAGGATCGCCAAGAGTCTAGAGTCTCTAGTAGCCAAGCCAAGGTAAGTTTCGAAGCGTGTGAAGTAGCACACGACTAGGATTATTTTAAGTATTTATTGAAAAACAATTTTTTATTTATTTATTTATTTATTAATATTTAGCATTAGGTAAGCAATATTTGTGTGGTGATTGTGAACTGTTGAATGTTGTTGATGCTTGTGTGATAGTATAACTTTGCGGTAGGTAACCGTTGTGCTAGCATTCGAGGCATAACTATTATGCTGTTGGATTTTTATATTATTTGGTTGTTGGTTACGCTTTGGATAGATATCTAGCATTAGGCGAATCATGATATCCCGGTCGTGTACGGAACGTTGTGTCACGTGATCGTATTCGAAGGCTCGAGGCTGGGTCGCGACAGACCGGGCACTACATGACGAAGTAAAGGGGAGGAATGACAGATCTCTTGTATACTTTGTGTCTAGGAGTGTAGGGCATTGCCTCGAAGGATATCATGGATTCGTAGGGGACCAAGTAGGATCAAGACAAGGTGTGATGCTTGCATTTTGGTTTTTTGCTTATGGCTTCTAAGCTGTAATGCTTATTGATTGTCATTTCTTGTGATTGAGGGTTGGGTTGGGTTATGTTATTAGATATCCCGGACTCACTGAGTAATATGAGACTACTCAAGATTCTAAACCTTAGGAGAAACAAAAGACGTTAGGCCAACCGGTGTAGATTTCCTTGCCTTTGTAAGATATAGTTTTGTGTATAATACATATGACTCTCTTTTCCCGATATTAATAAAGCGACGTTTTTATAAACCTCGTGTCTTCCAATTGATATTAAGTCTTGTCCAGACTTAACACAATTTTCGTCGCGGTACGTGTTGCAAAGCCTTAGGCCGTGTCCGAGAGGTCGGGCGCTCGTGGTTGGACGACAGTGGTGAACGAATTTGTTTCAGGAACCTTGGGCGGCCAACTACGAGGGTTAAGTACTGCTTCCTATTTGTTCCTAGTGCTGGAACGGGTCGGGGTGTTACAGTCGTGCCTATAATATTTTCTAAAACCAAATTTCTCACAAGATGCAAAGATTTCGGCAAAATCAGAATCAGTAGCATATTGAGATTTAATTTGCTCAAAATCCAAGTAACTTGGCATCAAGAGTTGTGAGAAGAACATACCTCC